CTTAAATGCATGATCAGAAAGGTGTCTGAATATTATATCTTTGTCACAACTTTAGTTTATATTTTATTGCTATGTTTGTATGTATGGGAAAATTTTGCCTAAAATACAGACAGCTATAAATACATTTCAGGCAGAAACTACAGTAATGCTGGCTGCAACTATCCTAAAAAACACTCAGAAACAGTCCTACCTTTTTGTGGAGAACCTGAGGAACAGCGAAAGGGTCTAAAGCACAATTCACATTTTACAGAGCCACCACATCAACTACCAGCTGGCATCAAAAAGCAACTTCATTTGGTCACAGGAAATCAAACATCCATCAGTGCACTGCACTTGGGACGTGGTATCATCATGGATCCCCAGACCATAACCACAGACTTGTTTTGTGAGGTGCTGTGCTGCTACCCCATGCTCCTGTCCCCTATTAGAAGCCTTGTTAACGCCTCTCAATGTCTCCCCATTCTGCTGACTGCATTCTGTTGGCTTCCTGCACATTCTGGAATCTGACAGCCCCTTTGGTCTCAGCATAGCAGCGGCCCCACAGCAGCCAAGGTCCTACAGGCAATCTGCAGCAGCCCACAGTAGAAGCATGAAAACCAAGTTACTCTGCTGCCCTGGTATGTGAACAGTCGGTGTGCATGGTGACAACCTGCTCCTGCTTAAAAAGAGCCCAACAGGGGAATGGAGACTAAAGTAAAAATAAGCCCAACCAGGCTGAAGTGAACAATGGTAGGGAAATGTTGGGGTGCAAAGCCACTCATGCTAAGCTTTACTGTTGATAAAACCACATATGACCAATATTGCCTAAGTAGCATTATCAGAAATACCAAATTTGTTTGCAGGTTAAGCAAAACTAGAAACAATGGGGAAAAGCAATCAGGTGTGGGTGCTGAGAGGAGCTCCCTTGGGGAAGATGCAAGAATGGCAAAGAAATCAGCTTAAGTAAGAAAAAATAGCGACTAAGGTATGAAATCAGGCAGAGGAGAAAGTTAGGTGGATCCTCCAGCAGCAGGAGCACAAATACTGCCATATAGCCATCATACTAACCTGCATGCCCCAGCCCACTGGGATGCCAGATGGACCCTCCTTGGACAACCTGCCATCAGGTCTGTGTCCATTGAATTTTGTGTAAAAGGAAATTGATTTTCATCTCCACACAAACAGTACTGTAATTTGATTGCAATTACACATTTATGTATTTCACTGGACTTCAAAACTACAATCAACAGTTTCATAGGCAAGCCTAACAGTGTGCATTATTTAATTACAAGCAGGTATATCCAATTGCCTAGATCACTGAGAATTTTGCTGTCCTACCCATTTCCTTCTAGTGTGATCATTAACCATCAAACATGTTCATTGGTTTGCATCAGCAATAACAACTCTAAAAGCAGACTGAACCCAAAATGTTCCTCAGCCTGCCAGTGCCCAGTTCTCTGCCAGAAACTGAAGTTAATTGGTTATTACTTACTGTCCAGGTCCTTTGTAGTCTGTGTAGTTTGTCTGTGCAGCTGCCCTTGACTACTAAAAAAAATCCTGAATGCCAGAAGGTTCTTCCTCCAAAATCAAGGTTATCAGAAATTATTTCCAAATACTGCTGTCACAGAGACAGAGCAGGGAATGCCAGCAGAAGACAAAGTGATGCAGGACTAATCTCCAGTGAAGATGCACCCTGAGACAGAAAGAAATCTCAGAAAGGACAAACTGTTTTGCATCCCCACGGATGAGTGCAGAAGGTTGAGACTGCAGTTTCATTGGCCAGCTACACTACTGAACATTTTGGCAGCAGTACAGAATTCTGAATGTATAGGCTACAGTACTAAATCTCAGTATTCCCTGACCTGTAATTTCTTGTGTTGCTGCTTCTACTGAAAACCAAACTCTGGCAAGTGTTATTCCTATCTAGCTGAAGCTGGAAAAGACACTCTGTTGTACTATAATGAGAAAATTTTATAAATGGTAGAGAAACTGGCACTGAACTTCTAATCTTTCAGCTGTTTTATATTTTCAGACAGTTTGGGTTATTAGCTACAGGCTAGGGATGCAGCTTCAGATGTTTGCCTTTGAGATGTCACAGCTTCACAACATTAAGCTTTTACTTCGACACTCATCCAAAAAATCTAAAATTATTTTACCTAATTATCCTTGCTAATGTCTAGATTCCTCTCTAGTAAAAATGTTTGCTTCCTTGCTGCAGATAGATATTTCTACAAAAATTCCCTATTAGCCCTTGTGTTTCAAGTAAAGGATATGATGCCATTGATTTTAACGTGTAGTAGACCCTATAGGTATCATATTCCTCATACCTAAACTTCTCTTTCTGGTATTAATATATTAGTCCACCCACAGTTTCACTGGTGAATTTAGGGCCACTTTCAGGCTTGCTCTCTTAGTAAAGTTGCTTCAGCTCCTGCTTTTATCTGTGCTATTAAGATACATATGACTTTCTATCAATGACAGTTTATAGTTCACCATGTCAGCATAATTTTTAATTTAGTAAGAAGGAAAAAGATTTCTTCTTTATTTCAAAGGATAAAAAATGGTGATTCTATCCAATACAGAAGTTCTATTAAAAAAATCAGCAATTAAAGTAAAAAATTGTGCATTAATTTTATTAGAATACTTTGTTTCCTGAGCAAGATTTACAACGTAACATGCAGGTGCTTTTAATAATTTACTTCACGATACATTCTGCACTTATGACAGTGCACTTGTGACAGTTGCGCAACAAAAGCAGCAACTAAAGAATTCCAGCTTTTAGTAATTTCAAAGAGAGACAGCATCTTCAGTAAACAGTTAACTGTGTATAGTGTAACGTTAAGTTTCCAATGCCTATCAAGCTGAAGTGATTCATTTCAGCAGTACATTTAAAGCTCTTTAGACTTCAAATCAACTTCTAAATTAGAAGTTTTAACAGTGATAATTACATTTTTTTCATAATCTTATGCATGACAATAAAATGAGCACCATCAGGCTCTTCTAATACATCAAGTAATTAAAAACACAGAAGGAAATAATAAAGGTAGGAAGACAAATAGAATCCTAGCACAAGTAATTTATGACACCATAATTCTGACAAGTTCTATTGATGAAGTGCTGAGCTCATTGCCAAGTGTCTTACGTACACATACAGCAAAAAAAAAGCTCCACAAAATAAAATTTCTTATTCAGGCAGGTAACACTGATGATTTATGTTCATAAAAATGATGTGCAGCTGGGCCACAGTTCCAGGTCTTTAAGAAGTTCTAAACATTTAATTGTAAAACTTTTGTCTTTCAGGACAAGTAAGAGAATTCTGGACATCTAAATAAAGCACAGTATACTTTAAAAAAAAAGTATTTATTTAGAATGGTTTGGGTTGGAAGGGACCTCAAAAATAATCCAGTTCCAACCCCCCTGCATGGGCAGGTACACTTCCCACTGGACCAGGTTCCTCCAAGCTTCATCTAGCCTGGCCTTGAACACTTCCAGGGATGGGATAGCCACAGTTTCCCTGGACAACCCATGCCAGTGTCTCACCACCCTCACACTTAAGAATTTCTTCCTAATGTCTAACCTCAGTCTCCCCTCTTGCAATTTAAAACCATTACTCCTCTGACCATTAGACATTTAAGGAAAAGTTGCAAATCTAAATCTGTTAACTTTTATGGCTTGCTGCATGAAAGAGATGCTGAAGTGCTATCTTGAAAACAGAAACCTATTCACAAAGGAATGTTACAAATGCTTTAAGAAAAAAAGCAACAGTGGCTTCTCAAGTCACAAGTATAACTCTTTCACAATGAATACCGCATGACACAAATATATTCCTGTGTTTGTCCAAAAAGAAAACCAATACAACAACAGGCAATACTGATGTATCACTGATTGAAATATAACACACACCAACTGTGTTTCAAGACTTAAAATAAATGGTCTGGATTAACATGACACCACATCACTCTACATGCTGCTCAGAAAGAAAACTTGAGGCATACAAATAGAAAATGTGGTGTATGCTAATCACCTTAATTCATTGCTGTGCTCATATCTGAATGAAGGATGACTAAATATATTAATAGCAATGTAAAAAAAAAATTACTATTTTGTCTTTTCGTTTGGCTGTCATCTTGGTGTTCTTTGGTGAGGTCTAATACTTTAATCTGAACCTTATTCTAATTGACAACAGAAAACCATCAGAAATTTACAGAAAGGAAGATTGACAACTGCTGCTGAATGACTAAAATTTTGTTTTGAAAGAGCTCAATTATGCTGGATCTCAGAACACTTCAATGCAGCATGGCTCAACAGTCTGTGACAGAGTATCCTGTTGTCACTTTCATGCATAAAGCTGCTTAAATCACGACCTGCTACGGTTTGCAGACAGGAATACCACTTTGTAGTATATTTAAAAACCCAAACACCTTTAGATGCTCTAAATGAAGGAAGCAGTAGTGTTTAAAAGGGAGATGAAGGAAGGTATATTTCAGATTCGTACAGCCTATATAAGCACAAACACTTTTAAAAACTGTTCAAAACTCTTGGAAGGCCCTTATCCTACCACCTCCATGATTACAAAGGACATATGTATTGGTTTCTGTGGAAATACTAAAAATACTGGCACAGCAGAACAGGGAAAAACTGACACACACCTGAAGGAAGTTGCTAGGGAAGGCAAATTAAAATATTTCCCTTTAACTTGCACTAAAACATGTTCAAATTTACCTACTAAGCCCATCTGGCAAATGAACCTCTGGTAACATTTACTTTTGCTGATAAAAAAGCACACAGAAAAGATGGATTAATTGAAATAATGTTTGACTAACTAATTTGACCCTAACAAGGGTCAATTTACAAAACCGTAACAAGACCCCCTCCTGCTTTGGACAGTCTGTAGTGTTACTGTGCTCCTAATGCTCCATCCTCAGTCAAGTCAATGATTGTCACAAGTGTGGTGTTCCCACTGGCAGACTTCTTCTTGTGCCATGCAGGACTGCAATATTACACATTAGCAGAGGAGAACTTTAAAATGTCATGAGCATATCACGTTCTTGTACACTAGTGTAGAACGGCCTCCCAAAGATAAAGGAATGCAGACCTGGTTTCATCTTCTCAGCCAAAGCCATTATTATGTTAAGGTCGCCCTCTGCTGTTAAATCAAGATCTATCTTTAAGCTACGAAGAGACTTGAAAGGTTTTTTTCCTTTTTGCCTGCAAAAAAAAAGGGTGCTGTAAAAAAGAACACAGCAAGTTCCTCAAAGCCTGCTTTCTATTCTCTGTTCACTTACGTGTCATCCTCTATGTATTTTATTAAAGTTAAGGCTTTTCTGTGAAGGACTAGCAGAAACTGTGCAAGGAAAGTACTCCTTAGAGACAAGCCAGGCTTCAGATGAAAGATCTGTTGAAAAATTACACCAGAAAATTGAGTAGACATGGCAATTCTAGAATCATTTTAAGAACGTGGAATATAAACATTGCATACACATGTAACACATCCTTAACTATACCAAAGCAGGCATATTAACAGCAGATTTGTAGATACACTCAATGTTCTTTGCTTTCTAGTTGCTCAGATGGACTAAATTAAGCTATTTTACAATTCTGTTTTAATAAAGTATAATTTTTGCTTTTAAAATTATCTAAAGTTAATACCAATCAGATAGTTTTATCAATACTGTAATTGAAGGCACTGTTGCACAACAAAATAACCATATAATGGTTTGGGTTGGAAGGGACAAGATTAGGTTGCTCCAAGACCCATCCAACCCAGCCTTGAACACTTCCAGGGATAGGGCAGCCATAACTTCTCTGGGCAACCTGTGCCAGTGTTTTACCACCCTCACAGTAAAGCATTTTTTCCTAATATCTAATCTAGATCTCCCCTCTTTCAGTTTGAAACTGTTGCTCCTAGGACTATCAGTACATGGACTTGTGAAAATCCCCTCCTCAGCTTCCCTGTAGCCCCTTCAGGTAGTGGAAGGCCACTGTAAACTCCCCCCAGAGCCTCCTCTTCTCCAGACTGAACAGCTTCTACTCTCTCAGCCTGTCAGAGGTGCTCCTGCCCTCCAATCATCTTTGTGGCTTCCTGTGGACATGCTCCTTGTGTTGGGTCCCCAGAACTGGGCACCGTACTCCACGTGGGTATATAAGAAAGAGTTCTAGTACTACATAAATACTACAAATAACACAAGTATTTTACTCTTCAGTTACGCAGAGAAGAATCATAGCACTAATATGAAAAAGAGCAACCTAGCCAAGAGATTACCTATTCATGTCAGATTGTCTATTACTAGGCCTCAAAGTACTAATCGTTAACTCTTGTTCTTTCTGAAAAAGCAAGAATTACCTGATCCAGGAAGGCTTTTACTAACGTATCTCGATGCAGGATATCTTGAAAGACATTTCTATAGAAAAGTAAGCAAACAAGTGTGAGGAAATGGCACGAAGATACACTAACAATCCAACACTTGTGCCCAGCAATAGTATTACTTTTTACAATCTGGCAAAAATTGATAGTATATTCTAAATTGTATTGAATTATAATACAGCTATGTTTAAAGATAACACAATATTTCAAAGCAAAACTTTCAGATGAAAAGAACTAAACCCAGGAAAGTCACTGGGCCCTTTAAAATACGCTTAGCTCTGTTATACCCCTAATTAAAACAGGCAACAAAATTAACATAACATGGAGAAGTATCAGTGAAAATTAATTTCAATAATATTTAATGCAACCAAACTACTGGCAGGTAAATTCCTCCAAAATGAATGCAATCACCACAGTTAAATAAGCTTCTTAAAAGCTAAAAAAACTTGTGTACTTGATCAGACAGTAGTACACTTCCTAGCGCTTTACTCTCTTGTCCCAAATCCAGTAACTTTGAAAGACATGAGAGAGTACATACAAATCAGGCGTGAAACTCTCATCTGTGTGGATAATACGATCTTGAGACATTTCTTCATCTGAATTAGCTCTCCAAAATGCTGTCAGTTCAGATCTCATGTATCGTCGTTGGTTATAGATGTGTTCATGGCAAGGGGGCATTTGCTTCACTGTATTGACATCTACATCTATATGTGTAGTAGGATATGGGGCATACATTACTTGACGGAAGGGCAACACAAAGCTTCCTGTTGCATCCTGTTTTAGTGAAAAAAATTATTCTTCTAGTTACTTTTTTAAAAAAAGACAACAAAGCTATCCTGGAACAAAACAGTATTACAGTGTCATGCCTAAATTTTAAATCTCTTTTGTTTAGACATGTTTTGTTTGAGAGAACTAGTGGTTGTAGCCCAGTAAAAAGTCCTTCATACTGGATGATTCCTTTCATATAACAGCAAAAACAGGTAATGAAGTAACCAGTGTATTACAGTATTGCATCATATGATTCATGAGCCTATTAACTTTACAGCATTAAATTTATCTGGTAAGATTATACTTCTCACTAGAGCTAGAAGCATTATTTTTCTATTCTTCACCCATTGCTACAGCCCTTTTAAAATACTCGGAAACCGTAGGACTGATGAACTGTTCTTTTTTGAGTTTGGCACAACACAAAAACTTAATGCCTTTGGGATTCTTGCACCAAGTAGGCAAAAGACTATTAGCATTGTATCTCGAAGTATAGGAACAAATCTGGACAATACTCTACAAACAGATTTGTCAGAGAAAAGACTGGCTTGGAACTTTAACATGCAAGTATTTACAATGAAAGCTATAGCATCAGAAAAGAATCAAAGGATGCACATGCACACACATATATTGAATAATGTTATTAAACTACAGAAGAATACAAGTTTCCTAAGTGTACTTACTTTGAGTAAGCCTTGAACAAAAAGTCCTGACTCATATTTGAAAGAAGACTCATTTCTACAGAGTCTGGAACACTTCCGCTCTGACGGTGTAAGAAACAGACACAATGTTCTCACGATCTGCATGAAAAAAACATGAGTTTTTAAAAACATGAAAATGTAAGGAATGAGCTGATCTTTAAATACAATTTCTGACTCAAATGTGTTAGGTATTTCAAATTATAAACAAAACAGTTCCTAATGTTTATTAGAAAAGCCAATACTTTACCAAGGCCATAGAACAGTGACTTGCTTAATTAAACTGTAAGACATATTACTCCAACTTGTCAAATTAAGGGAAAAAAACCCCAACACTTTTGGGCAAAATTTGGTTTTCAGACAACTATATAAACAAATCAATTTGCCTTCTGCTACTTCCTCCTAATGCATAAACATGAGTTACTGTGATTACTTTCCTAGCCTATTGTCTCCAATCAGGCACAGTCAAACTCTGAAATAAGTATCCATGCTTATTTCCTCAGTAATTTCCTCAAACTCTCCATTAAAAGCAACAGAGGTACTTCATTATCCATTTTCAAACTCCTATGCTGCAACAGTTACAAGTAATCATCTCCAAATATGTACTCCACTCTGCTAATCTTTCCATCTTAACTGGTTGTGTCCTGTGTCTGGAAGGTGTTTGAGAAGGCTCTATCCTTGCACAATGTGTTTATGCAGTAACTAAAACAATGACAGCCTAGCTTGTAAAAAATGCTTTCTGCCACTTCAGCAAAAAGCAATAGCAAAAGATATATTTTTTATTATTACTATTATTATTTTATTTTTTTTTAAGGAAAGCTAAAGAATGCTGCAAAGAAAGCAATTATTTCAGAATAGGAGCACTGTGACACAAAGAGAACACTGCTGGTAAGTACCTGTGTAGAATTTATGAATTTTACCCTGGATGTCTCTTTAAGACCCACATTCCTCTTGACTGTTTTTTTCTTTTAGTGTCTAGCTTATCAATACATTATTTTACATACTCAAAGCCACTTACACCTTAAAGCCTTTTAATTAAATATTTAATGGACTATAAGCATTCAGCTTTTTATAATCATGTAAGCCTTTTAGATTTCCTCTATTATGCTAAGTTAATCATGTGCAAATCTTACTTCCCTGAAACAATACATATTAAATGCAGTTAGCTGATTTCCACTAAGAACTGAGGATTTTCTTTCCCCTGGTTCTCCTGTTGCTCATGATTATTTTTTAATTTGAGTATCAAGATTTACTGTTCATTTCATCAGAGGGGCTTTACCATCACTGCCAATACATCCAAAACAATGCATCCTCACCCCTCAACTTTTATAAAGCATCAGAAACTGTGTATTTTGAAACATGGGTTTACTAAAGTTCTCTTGCATTTTTTAAAATGATGACTATTATATTTCATTGCAGCAGAAAGCCCTACATACTATAAGACACATAAAAGATGTATAGTCTACAATTAACATCTAATATTTTCAGCAGGCCCACTGCTCTTAATTTGTATTTCACATTGAAGCAATAGACACAGACACATTCACACATATATATATCAAAAAGGGCACCAACTTCAAGAATTAAAATGAGGTTTTCCTCAGAGGAAGGTTTCAGTCTTACCAAATAAACCAGAGCTTAATAATTAGTACAACACAATTAAAAACATAACTAGACAGAAAAGCCATCTATACAAAAATATTCCCTGTCAGAAAATTAAGTTATTAGAACATAATGGTTCTCCACACGTACCCCTGTATGACTTTTGTCACAGACCTCTGGACATAGCTCAGAGGCCCCACTGTAAATTGAAAACTTACAATGATACACAACTACTCAGAATCTCACTGTCACAGCAGTACTGGTGCACTCATTAAGTGCAGTGGTACCTAATACCTCAAGGCTCTAGGATTGCCCACTTTTACGAAATCCTCCTTTTCATTCCCAGTTGCAGGGATATTCTGAATCAAAGAGGATTATTAAGGGACTCAGCCAGGAATGTAGAGAGGCAATTAGTGAAATGCATTTTCTCATGAAGAAAACACTACTTTCTTCATGGTTTGTCTCTAAACATCCTAATTGGAAAAAAACTTCAGTGTTTTTATTAGAAGGAATGGGGTAACACCCTAATTAAATACAAGTCAAAGGGAAAAATATCTCTGAACAAAATGCTGATAAAGTAGAAAGAAATATGCTTTAAGAAATATTTCAGTGGACAGTAAACACAAGTGTACCTTCTCTAGGAGTTGCTTTCAATTTATTTGAAATCAGCATTTCGGTATAATCAAAAAGCACTTGGAAAACTCTGAGGAAGTGAAACATCCTCACTTGGTTTTTCCATCATATAGTGGGTATGGTTAAAATAAGCATCAAGAGACTCTTCATTTACACCAAAATGTTAGAGGAAAAGTAGTGCAGATGATAGTTTGATTAAACTGATTCAAATTAAATATTTCATAACAAGCTTACAAGAGAGTTCAAAATAATAAAAGCATGGAAAAAAAATGTTTACCTCAACAACGTCATTATTTTCTTGTTCCAAAATCACAGCTTCCAACAGTGACCTTCTTTCCTCCCAAAGAGGCTATAATTACGTATATACTCCTCTCCGTTAAGAGGTACAGCTAATGTTGCTTATTGTTTCTAGGGCTGAAAGCTCCTAAACATCATCCCTACTGACGCAGGGATGTACTGATGTAGCAAGTATGCCACACTGACTGTTCTGTTGTTACAAGGCTCAGTTTTAGAGGCTTTTATCTGTCTTTTCCCTGCACCTGATTCTTCTGGAAAGCTGAGCCAAACCTAATTTAAATCTACCAATTAAAATTGTACATTTATTTACCAATTAAGTTTTGCACAGACTGAAGATGAAGTAAACGCAAACACAGCTACCAAGAAAAACATGCTGTAACTGCTCAAATGGTTTAAGTAAGCTTGCCTGTTTCACCATGTGTGTGACTACCAACTTAAGAGCTTTGAGGTTCCATGAAACACAAGCAGTTAGTGATGTAGAAGTACATTTCTTCTCCAATGTAAGAGAAATCATGTAGATACTAATTTCTTAAGACTACACAGACAATACCCATTGATGAAGCTGAACTGCACAAGCCGGTTCAGACCTCTTCAATTTGGACATTTTAGCTAACAAACCTAATTTTAAAAGCTCAGAATAATTTACTGCTTGTTTATATAGTGTCAATTAAATACATTGTTTTTTTCATAGTTGCCAGAATACAACTGATAAGGCAATTTTCAGGCAGAACTATCAACTGCTAGATCAATTAGCTGAATTTAGATAAGCAAAAAACGGTATTCCTTCCTTCTTCAATCTCAAGTATGTTTATAGATAAGTGTTGCTCCAAATAATAAAGTAACACTCCTAATTTCAGCACTTAAATTTAGTGTATTAGAAAGTACATTACCTTATTAACTTTTTCTGCGCTGCTTCCTACAACCACAGAACAACCACAGGTCTGCAGGTGTGAACTAATTGCACTGCAAACAAAACCAGACATAGGTTTATACATTTAAACAGACTTTTCATATAAAGCAATTATCATCTTCCCAAGAAGAATAAGAAGAATGAAGTGCTCATAGTATAAATACAGGCCCATATCAAAAGGACTTCTCACATTAAGGAGAGATAACTGACAACCTGAAGTTGTCAATACTACCTGCTCAATAAATATTCATCAGGTATGAGAATAGTTAATCACTGGAGGATCAATGGCTCTTGTTGTTATAATAATTAATTTCAGGATATTAACTTCATTATTTCCCAAATTCTCTATGGAACTAAATACCACATTATTTTGAATAATTAGCTAATTTAACACATGAATTTCTGTAGTACTGAAAGCATGTGACACGGTATAAAAAGATGGCACTAAGCACTACATATATGAATGGAGTTACACTGCAGGTGTCATGAAAAATAACTGAACATCAATTAAAATTTATGAAATATGCTTTCCTGCATTAAGAGACCAAGTTGCTCTGAAGTGCAACTACTTCTACTTACACATTAAAAACAAAGTAAAAAAGAAATATACAATTTAATAATAAGCATTCTCTAGGCTATACTATTTATAATTCTTATTCATAGTTTGTGCAGTAAAAGCAATCCAGGTTTTTTTCGTATTTCAGAAAAATGTAAGACTTTAACTTATAGCCTCATAAAATTAAACCTAAGTATCAAAGAACAATTGTATTTGGTAGGAATTTCATTATCAAGTAAATGATTGTGACAACCGTCTATAGAGTTGATAAGTCATTCTTCTAAAAAGACAAAAATTTCAAAAGGTGAAATACATATCATGCTCCCCTCTCCTATAAAGAAAATTAATCTAATTCAAGTTTACATGCACATACAGAAAGATGTGCATCCCCACTAAGAGAAAGTCACGTAGAAACTCCAGGAGGCCAGTGTGGATGAGCAAGCAGCTACTAGAAAAGGTCAAACTGAAAAAGGAAGCTTAGAGAGGGTAGAAGCTAGTGCAGATATTTTGGGAGGATTACTAAGAGTTTGTCCGAGCAGCCAGGTATCAGGTTAGCAAAGCCAAATCCCTGCTAGAATTAAATCTCGCCAAGGATGTTAAGAACAACAAGAAATACTTCTATAGGTTTGCTGGGGAGACAAGGACAAACAAGAAGAATGTAGGCCCTCCCCTGTAGGAAACAGGCGAGATAGCCACACAGGATATTGAGAAGGCTGAGGTCCTCAATGACTTCTTTCCTTCAGTCTTCTCTGGCAAGTGCTCCAGCCTCAACACAAAGGCCAGAACAGGTGAAAACAGGGAATGGGAGAATGAATTACTCCCCACTGTAGGAGCTTAAGAAGTAGCAGATTTGCTGGCTTTTTTTACTGCATAGCTGTGTTCCCAGTCTCACCCTGAAAGCTGTTTGCAAGGAAGAAGGTTGACATACCTCATTTCTCTTCCTAAGCTGTATTTGTGGGGTTTCCAAAGGGGCACCAACACATAAGGAAGCTGAGAATCTTTGCAGTGCTGTCTTTCTTGGTCTTATCTTGAAAAGATATTGGACTCTCTTAAAGCAAAGGTAGCTATTACTCCTGATAATGTTTTATTAGTAATTGCTGTGATTATCTGTAATTGCCTGTGTTAACAGTGTGTCATGATTGGCAAGGTTCAGCTTAAGGTTCTCTGAAGGTGCATGTATCTATGGGACCTGATGGGATTCGCCCATGGGTCCTAAGGAAGCTGGTGGATGCAACTGCTAAGCCTCTGTCCATCATATTTGAGAGGTCATGGCAGTCTGGTGAGGTTCCTGCTGAAAAAAAGGAACATAGCCTCTATTTTTAAAAAGGAGAAAAAGGAAGACCCAGGGAACTACAGGCCAGGCAGTCTCACCTCTGTGCTTGGCAAGATTATGGAGCAGATCCTTCTGGAAAGTCCACTAAGGTACATGGAATATAAAGAGGCAATTGGTGACAGCCAACATGGCTTCACTAGGGGCCAATGGTGCATGACCAATTTGGTGGCCTTCTACAAGGCCACAGAGATGGTGGATGGTGGCAGAGCAACTGACGTAATCATCCTGGATTTGTGCAAGGCGTTTGACACTGCCTCACAAGACATGCTGGTCTCGAAGCTGACAAGGCATGGATTTGAAAGATGGATAACTCAGTGGATAAGAAAATGGCTGCATGGCCACATCCAGAGAGTTGTGGTTAATGACTCAATGTCCAAATGGAGGCAGGCAATGAGTTGTGTCTCTCAGGGGTCAGTACTGGGACCATTGCTGTTTAATATCTTTGTCAGAGACATGGACATGGATTGAGTGTATCCTCAGCAAGTTTGCTGATGATACCAAGCTGTGTGGTGTGGTTGACACCCAGGAGGGAAGGGCTGCCATCCAGAGGGACCTTGACAGGCTTGAGAGGTGGGCAAGTGCCAACCTCATGAAGTTCAACAAGGCCAACTGCAAGGTCCTGCACATGAGTCGGCACAACTCCAGGCACAAATACAGCCTGGGGAGATAATGGCTGGAGAGCAGTCCTGAGGAGAAGGACTTGGGGGTGGTAGTTGATGAGAAGCTCGACATGAGCTGCCAGTGTGCGCTGGAGCCCAGAGAGCCAATTGTGTCCTGGGCTGCATCAGAAGAAGTGGGGCCAGCAGGGCCAGGGAGGTGATTCTGCCCCTCTACTCTGCTCTGGTGAGACCCCAACTGGAGTAACGTGTACAGTTATGGTGCCCCCACCACAAGAAAGATACAGACCTGTTGGAGAGTCTAGCGAAGGGCCACCAAGATGATCAAAGGCCTGGAGCACCTCTGCTATGAAGACAGGCTAAGAAAATTTGGGCTGTTCAGCCTAGAGAAGAGAAGGCTCTGGGGAGACCTTATAGCAGCTTTCCAGGAAAAGGAAAGCTGGGGAGGGGCTTTTCATCAGAGAAGATAGTGACAGGACATGGGCTAATGGTTTTAAACTGAGAGAGGGAAGATTTAGGTTAAGTACTAGGAAGAAATTCTTCACTTTAAGGGTGGTGAGGAACTCGAATGGGTTGCCCAGGGAGGTTGTTGATGCCCCATCCCTGGAGGTTCTTAAGGCCAAGCTGGACGAGGTTTTGTGCAACCTGGTCTAATTGTAGAATTCCCTGCTCATGGCAGGGGATTGGGACTGGATGACCTTTAAGGTCCCTTCCAACCTTAACGACTCTATGATTCTATGATGTATGTATATACACGTCTACACAAGTTTAAACCATTTTACCACAGCATAACTCAAATGCATACTTGAGGAGAAAGCCTTCATGACAACTATCTCCAATGTCATCATCATTTAGCACTGTGTCAGTTATCTGAAAAGCAAGTAAATACAGAAGTTAGACAATAATCTGCAAAACCTTCATTTTAATTGATCTGTCGTTTTAATGATAGGTGGGAACTGTTCGGTAGCTATGTAAGGTAAGTTTTAAGACTGTGCAAAAAACCACAACCTGAAGAAAATCGTCTGACTTCAGACAAAGGGTTTTGAAAATAAGAAGGTCACTAGATAATTAACTGTTCCTCACCAGTCACAAGTATGATTCCTCCCAGTGGGTTTTTTCTATAACCTTGTGCAGAATAGTTTAAGTTAGTGCACATGAGATCACTTCTACTTCTTCCATGGAAGCAGTAAACCATGCTGAAACAGGTATCAACATTAAAACCATTTACATCCTCACTCATTTGGTTTTGTATCAAACAGCCTTTCCACTCCACTCCGAAAATGGTACCACCCTACACAGTCCATTTTGCTAAGTGCTGACCATAAAACCAACAGCTAGTCTGTTATATTTGCCAAGCTAAAACAGTTATGTTAAACCATTCCCTAC